GTTATGAGCCCAAGCATTACGCTTGGGCGGCCCAGGTGCCGAACTATGGTGGCGTGGATGCTGGTGGAGCCGGCGATCCCGCACTGGAGGGAGGCAGGGCCAGGAATCGAACTATGGCTGAAGGGCAGTCTTTGCTGAATGGGGCGATTGGTTCTCAACATCCGATTGCTCCAGGAAGCAGAGCTGTCACGACGGGTTCGGAAGTTTTGGAACAGCCAAGGGGTAGCGGATTGCCCCGCCGCACATCGCCTATGACCTCGAGCAGGCCCAGAGTGGAGTTCCCTGATGGATCTAGTGCAGTGAACACTGGACAGCGGGTTGATGCGACCACTGGGTCGGCTCAAGACGCAGCAACCGGATCGGGCGCGAACACTGGGCAACGTGTGGATGCGACCACGAGGTCAGCTCAGGATGCAGCAACCGGATCGGGCGCGAACGCTGGACAACGTGTGGATGTGACCACTGGGTCAGCTCAGAACGCAGCAACCGCACCTGGCGCGAACGCTGGACGACGTGTGGATGCGACCACTGGGTCGGCTCAGAACGTGGCAACCGGACCGGACGCGAACGTACGAAGGTTTCAGGGTGAGACTATGGGGATTCGTAGTAGGCCAGGTCAGCCACAACATCAGCAACCAGCTGCAGCTCAGCCTCAGCAGTACAACATCAGCACGCCACCGCAACAACCGGCAGCGAGCCCTGAAGCGACAGCGCACTTCCTGCCAGAGGGTGCCAATGCGTTGGTTGCTCTTCATGCTAGGGCTTCAAGGTTTGTGAGAGCTGAGGCTATGGATGGAAGCCACAGTGCAGCTGCGGTCGAGGTGGGTGAGGTTGCAGATGCCAATGGTGAACAGATGGTTTGGTTCACGAGGATACGGGGAATGCTTCAGCGAGGATTGGAGTTTGTACGACCTCTACCCTCGGCCTCGCCTACTTCCTGGTACTCTCAGTCCCCTACATGGTCCCTAGCAGCAACCCCTACGTTCAATGCTCCCGAAGCTCCTCGACTACCTGAACAACAACAACCACGAGTGGGAGCAGCAAGTCCAGGTGATCACCCGGGGGACCAGTCCTCTACGGGATCGTTGCAGCCAGAAGTCGTGCAGGAAGAGGTGCGGAAGGCTGTTCAGCAAGCTATGCAGAGCAGAGACACCAAGGTGAATGAACTTCAGGCCGAGAACACGGAGTTGAAGCAACTCCTCTTGGCGATGATTGAAGCGAGTCCCAGCACGGGAGGAGTTGGTGGTGGAACAGGGCCTTCAGCCGAGGGCAACCGTGGCGCTCCAACGGAATATGGAGGAGCCACTGGCCCGTCTGAGAGGCAACATCTACCGGAACGAGGGGATCCCCGTGCTGACCGTGAAGGTGCAAGTCGAGTTTTTGGTGCTCCCCCCGGCCTCCCTGTGCCGTCTCGACGAGTCCCAGGTGACCTTGGAGGACAGGGAGGTGGGCAAGTTTCTGGGTTTGAGGATGCTGGCATACCGGTGGCTAGACCTGATGGTGGTGACTCTGAGGGCGTCACAGGAAAGCTATATGGGGCTACCGGCGCTGCTTCGCCAGGAAGGGCTGATGCTACCATCTTGGACCCAGACAAGGACGACAAGAGCCCAGTGGCTCACCTGGGCCTTCTCGCCCAAGGCATACAACAGCTTCAGCAGCTCCAACTCCAGAAGGACACGCAGGATCCAGAGCTGTTGAAGGGAGCCGTGACGCTCCCAGCGTTGCCCGAACCTTACCAGGACTCCAGTGCAGTGTTGTTCTTGGAGTGGGTGTACGAGGCGGGCCAGCTGGTGGGCTCGATCACGGACAAGGCCACTGGATGGTGGAACCACAACTTGGAGCTGGCGAAGGATGCGTACCACAAGTTCCAGAACGAATCGCCGCTCAAGCGCCTGTCCATTGTTGTGGGTAATGATGATGCTGTGGACGGGGAAAAGTGGCAAAGTGGGCAAGGCTGGAGAAGAGGGTGATGGCACTCCTTTGGCCGCCATGAGCCCCAGCGTCAAGGCTGAGATCACCATGTTGCGCATTGATCGGGTGAAACACTGCCTGTACAAGCTGTACACAATCTATGCCCCGGGTGGAGCAAGCGAGCGGGCGAGCCTGATCAAGCAGCTGGAATATATCCAACCCCAGAACAATATCATCGACATGATCGCTGCTCTTCGCCGGTGGAAGAAGTTGATTGGAAGGGCGGCTGAGATGGGAGTGTCGCTTCCCGATGGGAGTGTCTTGCTTGTGGCGGTTGAGGCTGCCATCAAACCCATCGCTGAGGCCCAGAAGGATGTCAACTTCAAGCTGAACATGGCCAAGAGCGAGCTCAGCCTTCCTTACAAGCCAGCCTTGTCCTCGGTGCTGACGTATGCGGACCATGTCATTGCGGAGCTCCAGCAGGTGATACCGTATGGCAAGGACCAAGGTGCCAAGCTCAAGGGTGTGATTGCCGATCACAACGCGCCTTCGTCATCTACTACATCTCCAACAGGCAAGGGCCAGAAGCTGCAGTCTCCCTGTAAGTTTTGGTCCACGGACGAGGGGTGCCGGAGGGGTTCGAATTGCAAGTACGCTCACAACTTCGCTTCCAAGGAGGACAAGAAGGCGAGGTGCTGGACATGTGGAAGTGTCAAACACAGGCAACAGGATTGCCCCACTAAGGCAGGTGGGAAGAAAGGCTCAAAGGGAGGTGGGGACCATCGAGCTTCGGGGAACACGACGACGTCAAGTACACCAACGGCTCAGGTTGCAACCCTGAACAACCCCCAGCCCTCAACTTTCATTCCACCTACGGCCTCCACATCAGCAACCTCTACGCTTGAGAACCCTTCGCCTACGCACGCCCAGGTGACAGCGTCATCTACTACCATTGGACCTATATCCACGCAAGTTGGGTCGGGTTCTAGCGGATCTTCCTCTGCAGCGTCTACGGTTTTGCTTTCTGAACAGAACAGCACTGGAGAGATCAGGGAGCTAGCGGAGCAGTTCCTTGCGAAGATTAAGCGGCTTGCCCCTATGCAAGCTGTCACAGACAACGCGGTTGTGGACCTGGAGCTTTTGTTACGCTCCCAAGGCCTTGGGGAGAGTCATGGCATGGCTTTGCTGGATAGTGGGGCCTCACATGCTTATAGGGCTCCCAAGACGCTCGAGGAGGCCAAGGAGGCGAAGCAGGTCAAGGTGCAACTTGCTGATGGACGCCATGTGTTCCTTCGGCAAACTAAGGGAGGCACCTTGCTGGCGGAGGACGACAGCGGTGGAACGATCCTTCCTTTGGGAAGCTTGGTGAGTTCCTTGGGATGCAAACTGGACTGGAGCAAGCGAAAGGGCCTTCGCATAACGCACCCCGAGCACGGCTTGTTGCCAACAAAGCTGGTAGGCAACACCCCAGTCCTCCGCGAGGCCGAAGCGCTCCAGCTGATTGCGGACCTGGAACAGCTAGAGCTTGACAAGTTGGAGAAGAATAGCACGGACGGAGTCCTCAAGATGATGTCTGCGGAGGAGCCCCAACTTACATGGGTGGATCACCTGGAGGAGTTTGTGCAAAAGGGCGAACGGGCCTGTCTGAGGAGGATGCTCTTGGACGAGGACTCCCCTTTGGATGCAGTAGCCGAGGCGGAGGTTGTGAACCTGATTGGTGTCGATGACCGCCTCCTATTGTCCGACGAGGCAGGCGCCCACTACTTGAAGTCGCTCCCCATCAACAGAGCTATGAGGAAGCGGTTACTGAAGACAAGATGGGTGGTTCATTTGTATAATGGGGATGAGAAGGGCGAGGAGTTTGCCAGAGCTGAGTCGGAGGATGTGACGGTGATCCGAATGGACGTGCGAGACTCCAAGGCCTATGACCTCAGGACGTATGGACCAGCTGCGAGACTGCTTCTGTGGGCGGCGGCCAGAGGCCAGATCGAGGGCATCATCGGGGCGCCCCCCAGAGGTGCTGAACATGGCCCGGCGCTGCTCAAGAGAATGTTGTTGGTTTGGTTGGTGGCGAACTCCGGCGCGGTCCTCAACTCCCTTTGCGCACCTTTCTTTTGTATGGAAGCCCCCACTTGGCATCCTCTGTGGACGAGTTCGGCCTGGATCAAGTTCAAGGACGAGATGCGGTTCCTCAAGTACCACTCAGTGGGAACACCAGGCAACATGTACTTCATGGCGTCCTCATTGGGTTTGTCGGATGGGATGGACATTGAGGAAGCAGCCATCATGAGCTTGAACTATGAAACCCCAGCTTCTTCATGGCCGGTGCCTTTGAAACTTGGTATCGCTCAGGCCATCCTCAACTGGCGCAACAGCGACTTACGAAGGCATGAGGCAACCTTGTGCAAGATTGTGGGCCCCCGGGAACTCAATGCAAAGGACCTTGCTTATTGGGAAACCCACGTGCGCAACAACCACGTCCCCTATGATCGCCGCTGCCAGACTTGTGTCCGGGAAGCGCAACAGGAAGGGCGCATCGACGATGTTTGACTCCGAGCGCCTATACACTGTCCTTAGACATCTGCGGCCCTATGAGGACTCGTGGGGAATCCCAAGAAGGCAAGAAGTTCCGGTACTTGTTGGTTGGGGCTTATTCACATCCAAAGCTGGATTTGCCAAGGGACCACAAGATGCCTGTCATTGAGGAGGAAGATGACGTCGAGCCGGAGTTGGACCCCTTTGAGGAGGAGGACAAGACTGACGATCCACCTGAGGAGGAGGACGAAGAGCAGAAGGCCCTCAATGAGAGGTTCAGGCGGATCTACAAGGACATTGGTGACGATATTGAGTGCCAGACGCTCAACTTTGCGGTCCCGATGACTTCCCGCACGTCCAAGGAGGTGCGGGCGAAGATCCAGCACATCTATCTTCAACTCCGCCAGCATGGGCTACCTCTTGTGCGAATACACTCCGACCGAGGCTTGGAGCTCAAGGCCAAGGAGACCCGAAGCTGGATGGCAGACAGGGACATCTTGGCGACTACTGGGGAGAGCCAGCAGCCGCAGCAAAACGGACGAGCTGAGGCTTTGGTCCGGGAGATCAAGCGCCGCGTGAAGGTCTTACTCAGGGCCTCGGGCCTCCCAGCAACATGTTGGCCGGTGGCAGCTGAGTTTGCAGCAAGGCGACAAAGGGATTTGGCCCTAGGGAACTACGAGGACAAGGACCTCGCCTTTGGAGCACCGACGCACGTGAAGTACAAGCGCTTCGGTGAAGGCGGACGATATGACTTACTGGAGCGATGGAAGGAGGGCTTGTTTGTGGGCTACTCCAATGATGTGAAGAGTGGCCGTGTGGTACGTCATGGAGATGGTTCCTACACGACTTCAGTCCACATCAGACCCTACCTGGTGGATTCGGATGATCTGGTGCAGCTTGGACCCATGAGGTTGAATTTCCACTACCGGAACGGAGGACTAGGGAAAAAACCACTTTGGCCAAGGCCCTTGTGGACGCCAACAACGACATCGACAACCTCGCGAAATCGTTCCTCGACAACAACCAGTTCCAGCCCGAGCATGTTGTTGAGTTGTGGAAACATCTCAAGGCCAAGGCCAGACCTACCTCAAGAACCACCCAAGGAGAAGGCCTTCAATGGTTGGTTGGCCAGTACACCTACGGAAGCCAATGTGGGATTGTGAACGACACGTACCTCCACCCCGCAGTAACCACTTACTTGGTGCGAGCCTTCAAGGAAATGACCGGGAGGGATGACTTCACGGCCCTGCTCCTCACCGAGAATGTGGGCATGAAATGCCACCGTGATGTTCACAACAATGGGGCCCGAAGCAACTGGCTACTTCCTCTACAACAATGCGATGAAGGCGGAGGTGTATGGATGGAGTCTTCTCCCGAGGCCTACAGCTACGACGATGAGTGGCGTGAATTGCCAAAGGGAGGGTGGAGAAGAGGCCGTGTTCGTGAACTACAACCTGGCGTTCCTTTGGAGATCAACCCAAGGCGCTACCATGCCACAGAGCCTTGGACAGGAACGAGACTGGTTATTACGGCCTATACCCCAAGAACTACAAGCATGAAACTTGACACCTATGAGACCCTCCGCGAGTTCGGCTTCAAACCACCTCCTATACCACCTCGTGTACCTGATCAACTACAACAAACAGTGTTGAAGATGTTGACTATGACCACGGTGAAGGATGAACCCGAGGCGGTGATGTTTTTGGTCAACGAGGTCGAAGAGGAGAAGCGCGAAAGGGCAAGGGATGTCAGTCGGGAGCTACGGCAACTACAAGATGATGTGTTGAATCGTCTCAAGGAAAGGCGTGAGTGGCTGCGTGAGTTCCTAGCTGAGGAGGAGATCCTTGCTGAAGAGCTGAATATTGTGGGCGAGGCCATCAATGAGGAGATCGAGGGTGTCAACGGTGCAGTTCGTGACCTTATCAAGGATGTGGAGGAGCAGATTCAGGAGACCGAGGATAAGTGCCACAATTTGTACCTGAAGGTGGCCAACGTTAACGATGACAAGGAGATTGGAGACATCGAGGAGTATTTGTCCAACCTCAAGAAGGACCTGGATGTTACGTTGGATGTTCCGCTCGACCAAGTCAGGCGCAACCTGGACAAATGGGTCGATCCCTTGAAGAAGGAACTTGCGAACCTCGAGGAGAAGACGGACGCTATTGAGCGGCGACCCATAGCAGAGGCCAGGGCCCTGGAGCGCGAGGGGAAACTTATCCTGATCCCGGGGAAGGTCGTGTGCACAGTCAAACCGCCACCCCCACCAGAGATAACGGCCCCCAAGGAGCAGCAGCCACGCTGGAAGCGCAAGGCCAGGGTGGTGATATGTGGCAATCACGCTGGACAATGGCATGATCCAAATGACCTCTTTGCGGCTGGAGCAAGTGCCGAAGGACTACGGCTAGCACTTGCCCTTGCAGTGGCTATGTCCTGGAGCGTGGCGTCTACGGATGTGTCTGCGGCTTTTCTGCAGGCGCTATGGCCAACGAACCGGCCCACCTACGGAGTGCTGCCGCCAAAGATTCTCCTGCAAGCGGGTTTGGTGGAACCGGAGGTGGTATTCATCGTGAAGCGGGCGCTCTACGGATTGCGGGAAAGTCCCGCACTGTGGGCGGCTCACAGGACAGAAGTTCTCAAGGAGCTGGTGGTGGAAAACGGAGATGGGCGGATCTTCCTGAAGCAAATGATGACGGACAGTGAGCTGTGGATGATCCTGGAGGAGCCTAAGGCTGGTGGCCAACCGAGCTTGAAGGGCATCCTTGTAACCTATGTGGATGATATCCTCTACCTGGCTGATGACCTGGTGATCAACCTCATACATGGAAGGGTTGGGGCAATTTGGCCCTGTTCTCCCTTGGAGTATGCGACGGACGGTCTGAGGTATTTGGGGATGGAACTCAAGCAAGAGGAAGGGTTTTTCACCCTCTCTCAAGAGGCGTACATTGCCAATCTGGTGCGCCTACATGGTTTGGATGTTGACGTTAGCGCGGGACTTCCTTGTCCTAAGGAGTGGATCCAGGAGGACGATGTGGCGGCAGAGGAGGAGAACTACAGTTCTTCAGAGCTGATGATGGCCCAGAAGGTCACTGGAGAATGCCTCTGGTTGGCTTACCCTACGCGCCCCGACATCCTCTACGCTACGAACTACATGGCCGCAATGACAACCAAACGACCTGTTAAGGTGTACCAGATCGGTCTCAAGGTGATGTCCTACCTGAACGCCACAGCCGGTTTGAAGTTGAAGGTCGAAGCTACAGCGGAAGCCGAAGCAACAACAACTACTACGGCTGCAGCAGAGACCGAAGCCACAACAGCCACAACAGCTTCAGCAGAGATCGGAGCCACAACAGCCACAACAGCTTCAGCAGAGATCGGAGCCACAACAGCCACAACAGCTTCAGCAGCAACAACAGGGATTCAGGCTTCTAGGCACTATGCGGGATTCAAGGTGGATCTGACTGGGTACAGCGATGCGTCTTATGCCCCACATGGGGGTAAAAGTTTCGGCTGTAGTCTAGTGATGATCGGCAAGACCCCTGTGACGTGGAAAGCAGGGAAACAACCGATAGTATCTATGTCGGTCTGCGAGGCAGAGTTACTCGAAGGATCCAACTGCGCTCTGTTGGTACAGTCGACGGAAGCTATGTTGAGAGAGATTCTACCTGCCACCAGCACCCCTACGTTGTACATCGACAACCAGGCCGCGAGCAATCTACTCAACGGTTCCACTGGGAGCTGGCGGACGAGACATTTACGGATTCGCCATGCCTATGTGATGGACCGCGTCAAAAGTGGTGAGCTCTACGTCCAGCATTTGGCTGGAGAGGACCAACCTGCAGATTTACCGACGAAGCTGCATTCCAAGGCGCGGTTACTACACCTACTTGGGACCTGGGGGATGATAGGCCTGGCTGGGTTGAACGAGAAGAAGGTGTTGCAATGCATGAAGCTGGGATGCATGTTCTTATTGCTGCTGGTGGTTCAATCCTTGGCAGTTGCAGCCGCCAAGGAACCTCTGCCGACGGTTGGGACAGTGGAGTTGTTTGTGCTCCTGATTCTCACATGTATTTCAGCAGTGGCCCTGTGGGAAGCAGGAAAGGCGCTTGGTGGATGGGCCTACCCAAGGATCTTTGGGTCGAAACGTGAAAGGAAGCTACGTAAGCTGAAGGAACTCGCGAGGATCGCAGCGGAGGCTGAGATCGAGAAGTGGATGGACGAAGACGATGTTCCTTCAAGCGAGCGAGTGATCCAGGCTGCACGACAAAGGGCCCTCACTACGGCTACGAGCGGATCTACAAGGCCGAGGTCTGCTACCCCGTTGCCTAGTCCTACGACCGAGTCGAGCCCGAGGAGCCCGACCACCACTACCAGGCCTACTGCCCCCATGAACATGGGGGAGTCGAGGGAGAGCCGATTTGGTGAGATTCGGCCAGCGACACCCCCGCTGCCGGAGAGAGGGCAATCTGTGCCCCCCTCACCAATCTCGGGGCAATTCGATCGTGAGCGGGTCGTTCAAGACGCTTTAGGGCTGATGACGGTCCAACACTTGCGTGATGGCTTGGCCTCGGAGGGCCTTCCGGTGAGCGGCGTGAAGAGCGACCTCACGAGGAGGTTGGGCGGCCAGCTCGGCGATGAGCCCCCAGCGGCGCACTTGCCGACGACCCGCCAGCTCCGCTACGTCTTGTGGACCTGGAGGCACTTTCAGCTGGCGGGGCGGACTCAAATCTTGTGGGTCAACTTAGCGACGAAGACTGCAGTGTCTGAATGGTTGGCTCGCTGGAATCGAGGTGGAAGCTAACTGGCCACACAAGGAAGTGTTGCAAGCCGCAGGCTGGCAACAAGGAGGAGTGATGAAGTGAGTGACTGTGGCCATGTCAAGCAGTGATCTTCGATCAACAGCAGCAGTTCGCAAGACCTTTCAGTGAAACGTCATCCCTGCAGTTGTACACTTAGCAGGTCGATGTGTTTCCGTACTGTGTATAGTGTAACAACCTGAAGTTGTAAAGATCAAACAGGTTTTCTCGCGACCGTGCCATGCACGTAAAACAAATTCGAAGCCATGTTTGCCTTGCCTGCGTCCATTTATTGATGACTTCCCCGTACTACCCGGACGACAGTGCTCGACAGGTTATGAGCCCAAGCATTACGC